TAGCCTGAAGATTTTGTTTGTAGAAGGAACAAAGGTTTGGGCATCTATTAACGAAATCTCGAGGCTTAAGCAATGTTTTTTTGGCTAAAATATTAAGTTAGCCGTTTTTAAAAATCGGCTAAAAACGAGCCGTTTAACAACACTAATAAAATTGGTCACAAAAAAAATGTGGTCTTCGGTCAAGTTAAATATTAAATAGAATTGTATATTTTTAATGTTTTATAAAAAATAATAATAATATGTCATTTTAAAAATTATGAATGATATTTCAAAAATTATATTAAATCAATTCCAAAGAGAAGAATGTTATAAATTCTAAAAAAATTAATACTAATAGAAAATATATAATTTTATGCATATCAAATTTATTTTTTTTTTACTAATGGGGGAGGGGGGGGGGTGCTCTCTAGAAATTTAAAAAAAAATAAAAACTAAATAATTATATCAAATACAAATTTTAATAATTTATAGAGATTGGATTCGCATCGATATCACTATAAACTAAGATGCTATAATAAGGTGGAAAATATTTAAATAGTTAAACATGTCTAATTTGGGCACGTTAAACGACTTGTTTTGAGACGATTTTTAAAACTGCTAACTCGATATTTTAGCCAGAAAATATTGCCTAAGCCTCAAAATTTTGTTAATAGATGTCCAAACCTTTCTTCCTTCTACAAGCATTATCTTCAGTCTTGCATAATATTATTATGGATGGAATAATTGAGTTAGCCGTTTTTAAAAATCGGCTCAAAACGAGGCGTTTAATAATACTAGTTGAGACTATGATATTTGCCCAAATTAAAAGGTTGACAAATTTATAAGATTCTTTACTTTAAAAAAAACATTTTATCATCTGTTATATTCTTTAGCAAAAATAGAGAAGATGTTCAACTATTTTAAAAGAATTTTTTTTATTTCTATTAATTCATCAAAATCATAAGTATGTATGTATGTACACATAAAATTTTGCATAATATAAAACTATGATAAAATAATTTCATAATATATAAAAATGCTTACATAATATAATTTTGGTTAAAATTGTATTCGGGTCGTTTTTTAAAAAAAAACCGGGTCACTTGATAACACTATATAACGATATGAAATTAATTTATGATATAAAATAAGATTTTATTTTTTGTTGTTTCTTTGGTATAAATATTATGTTTGATTTAAATGGTATTTGATAATGTCTTCCTTGGATTTATAAATATTGTGAACAGTTCCTTTAGAAATATTATTTTTTTTAGCGCATCTTTAAATATGATGATTTAGAAATTTGATAACCTAAAATTTTTTAATTAACGATAACTAGTTATATTTGTTTTCTTTATTAATTTGTTATTTGATATATATTAAAAGAATGATATAATAAAATTTAAAAAAAATGAATAAATGAAACAAAACACAATAAATGCCCACTATATAGAATAGAGGACTAACGCAAATGGATAAAAAAATGGAAAAATCTGTCCACTTTTCAAAGTAGACAGTTGCCCAATTTATATATGTATTTTATTTAATCTAGCGCGTACGCAGCGGGGGGGGGGGCAGGGTGACAAATCCCCCTCACCAAAAAAAACCAAAAAAATGCAGATGCTGGATATATTTTTCAAAAATATTATTGTTTATGTTAATTTATATTGTTAATATTTATTCCTATCTTATATTAACTAAATATGTAATTACATTTATTATCACATTCATTCATAAGTTATTTTATCAATTAATTTCAATTTCAAGTTTTCCGGCGTAATATTTACTTATTATTTTCAAATTTTAAGTGGCGTAATATTTATCTACCTTTTTCAAATTTCTAGCCAAATAATAATTAATTTTGAAACTTCTTGTCCAACAGGGAAAAAAAATTGCAATATTGTCCAACGAGATAGAGTCTCCGCCATCAAGCAATAACAGCTTTTATGGAGTTAGAAGAGCCAATTATTTGCTATTACTGAAATATCACAATGGCCTGAAAGAAATATTTCCTCAGAAGCAAGAAAATTATTGGATCAATGCTTATTCCAAATTTTTTTTCTCATTAGAATGTATATTTAATTATACAACTATTTTATGTATTACTTTTTAAAAACATGACTTGACTTGATTAAGAAGATGAGTATAAAGGAGAACATTTTATTAGAACTCAGGGAAATTAGGGCTAATGTTGATGAATAATTTCATATTTTATGTTATTGTTGAGTCAAAAGCAGAGCTATACGTGTTAAATATTTGTCTCCCTCGACTTGTAGCAGGCAAGCTCATCGTTAAAACATTAATATAGGATCAGTAGACGAGTTCTGAGATACAGATATATTTATAACCCAAATAAATGAATGGTTTTTTAATTCATCCTGCAGCACTTACCAATCTAGTAATATAACTTCCACAAAGCCTTTCCAACCTTTTTCAGATGGTGATAGAAAAAAAATAATATTTGTTGGAATTTTAATATGAAGATGTTAAAGTATCTTATGATGCCTTATTAGCTGAATAACTATGTTTATAAGATTAACTATGATTGATATAGTCCCAAAAAATGCTATGGATGCTCTGCATTATTCAAAACACATTTTTGATTATATTCCCAATATATTAAAAAGGTTTATATATATTAGCAACTCTTCCCATTAGTAAACTAATGAGAGAACATACTCATTTTTAAGAAGAGAAGCTGAGCCCTGCAGAAGTATCATTTGCAAGGCACGGCCTGGTTTTTTTTACAGCCCAGTTTTTTTTAAAAAAACTTTCAGGCCGTCCAGTCTTTTTTTAAAATAAAATTTTTAGGCTTGGCCCGGATTTTTTAAAAATAAATAATATTTATTTTTGATTATTATAGCTAATAATAACGATTTGAAATATAGGCTGACAGTCCGGCCTGGGTGTTTTTTTAAAAAAATTTAGGCCCGGCCCGGGTGTTTTTTTAAAAAAAATTTGGGATCGGGTATATTAAAAAAAATTAAAATAACGTCCGGCCCAAGGGCCGGGCCTGCAAGTCTCCGAAAAACATACCAAGAAGTACAACTTCTGAAAGTAGATTGAAAGGTTTGGACTTTTAAATATTCCTAGGCATTTGACGACAAGCAAGGATGAGATAATTGAAAAATTAGCTCAATCCCAATGAAGATTGGATTTTACATTGCAAACAAAATACAATTATTCCTAAGAAACTTTTTGTGTATTTTTCCAACATTTAAATTTTTTATACTTTATATATAAATTTAAAGGCTCTAAAAATTCAAATTTCTATTTTGGTTTAAGTGATTCCTATAGCGGTTATATTCACTTTATATTTTTTAATTCACATTTATTTTTAGTTGTTTATTATTTTTTAATTTACATAATTTTATAGTTTTTTATATGCCGATTTATACATATAATTTTTTTATAATTCACATTAATTTCAAATTGTGTATTAGAAATAGTTATTAGTCATAATAAATTTATGCTTGATATTAAAAAAAACAATAATATTTCTTAAAAAAATATTATACCCCTTCCCCCCCCCCCCCCCAGACCAAATTTCTGCGTACGCGCCTGCATATAGTTAGTGTTGTTAAACGGCTCGTTTTGAGCCGATTTTTAAAAACGGCTAACTCAATATTTTAGGCAGGAAAATATTGCCTAAGCTTAGAGATTTCGCTAATAGATGACCAAACCATTGTTCCTTCTACAAACAAAATCTTCAGGCTTGCGTAATATTATTCTAGATGAAATATAGAGTTAGCCGTTTTCACAAATCGGCTCAAAACGAGCCGTTTAACAACACTACATATAGTAATTAATAAGAATTTGGGACTTGAAGATTTGGTCATATTACGATGTTGTCCGAATTATCAAGAACCGAAATTAGACAGGTTTGACTGTGCATTATGGTCGACTTTTATAAAATTTACCCCATTTATTCCTGTATTAATGCTTATTTTATAATATTAAAAATAAATTATATAGATATAAACAATGATTAATTGCTAATTATAAAATCACGTCAACTAACACATATATAATATATATATATATATCTTGAATTAGACAAAAAAAATATCTAATATGTAATATTTAAAAAATTTCTCATTTAATGTTACAAATATTAATCTTTTGTTGTAAAATATATTCGATTACTAAATGGCATAGCTGGTAAGCGTCTGAGAAATTTATAACATACAAAGAAACATTATAATTTTTTATTTTAAATATTTTTATGAAATTAATATTAAATTCTTTAGTAATCTTGTTTTTTAATAATTTTGTCTTGATAAAAATTACATTTTTTATACCTCAATTTCACGTTACATTTTTTTTGAATACTTTAAACAAATTTTTAAACTATATATCGAAATTTTAATGTAATTTTAAAATAAACGAAAGTATAATATTTATAGCAAAAATTTAGAACTAAATTGAACTTAAGGTTATAGCAAAAGATAGCAAGAAATAAATTTAAATAAAAACATAAATCAATTATTTATTATTAAATCAAATTTAATACTCTTTTTCTGTTATTTGCCTTGTTGGATTTTTAATGAAGGCCACCTCGAGTCTAGTTTAGCCCTAATTTTACAAGACCGAAATCGCGGATTCTAAAGACAAAACCGAGAGCCATATAAAAAGACCTGAAAGGGGTTTATAATTATTTTATCCGCTAAAATAAGATCTTTGTTTTAATCTGCAGAAAACTGTCTTATTTCAAAATACAAATAATTTAAATAAGACATTTTCCAATAAATCTATTTATAAAACAATATTTGTGAGTATTCATTGAAAAAACAAGAATTATTTTAGAAATTAATTATATAAATTTATAAAATATTAATAGGATAAACTGATTATTATAGTAGTTTATCCTAGTTTCTTAGTTTTTTAGTGTTATATAATAGTATTTAATGAATCTCGACTCTTTCTCCCTCCATTTCTCCCTAAAAAATATTCATAAATTAGATTTAATTTATTTTCCAAATTTTAAATAAGATTGTTAAAAATTTTGTATTGATCGGATAAACTTTTTTTCCGGATTACAGATTATAAAAGCACATGTTATGAGTAATATTGTGTTTAAAATATATTCTCACAATATAAAATGCTACAGAAAATTGTCAAATTTTACCCGAATTATTAATCCATCTTTGCGTTCACCCTATTTAAAATATATAAAATATGTGAGTAAGTTATTTTTATAATAATATTTATACTATAAAGCAACCTAGGATTTAATTCAACATTTGCAACCCAGCCACAGTCAACTTCACCTCAATCAATTGCCAAGAAAACTAAAGCAGGCTCAGAGGGTAGAATTGTTGCAGTAATTGGAGCAGTTGTAGATGTTCAATTTGATGAAGGACTTCCACCAATTTTAAATGCCTTAGAAGTGCAAGGACGTCCTTCAAGGTTAGTATTAGAAGTTGCACAGCATTTAGGTAATATTTAAATATTCAACACCTCATTAAACTTATAACCAGGTGAAAACACAGTAAGAACAATTGCCATGGATGGCACTGAAGGATTGGTAAGAGGAAATAAATGTCTTGATACAGGAGCCCCAATTAGCATACCAGTTGGACCTGAAACCTTGGGAAGGATTATGAATGTTATTGGAGAACCTATTGATGAAAGAGGCCCTATAAAGACCAAACAGTGTGTTATCATATTTGATTTAACTAAATGATGCAAAAAATTTTGTATGAAATATATGATATTTAGACATCGTCACTACCACTGATATAATACATTTTTTTAATATTTGTATATAATATATCTGTATAGGACATTAGGAATTCACCAAGAAGCCCCAAATTTTACAGATATGAGTGTTGAACAAGAAATTTTAGTAACTGGTATTAAAGTTGTAGATTTATTAGCTCCCTATGCAAAAGGGGGAAAAATAGGTATTTATTAATTGTAAATAGAATGATGAAATTGAACTCTCTCCCTTAAAATAATGATTACAAATATAATCTGAATTTAATATTGTTAAATGCTACAAAAGTTTTATAAAGATTTAAAAAAATAATATAAATAGGTCTATTTGGTGGTGCTGGTGTAGGCAAAACTGTATTAATTATGGAACTTATTAACAATGTTGCCAAGGCACATGGAGGTTACTCTGTTTTTGCTGGAGTTGGTGAAAGAACAAGAGAGGGCAATGATTTGTATCATGAAATGATAGAGGGAGGGGTTATCAGTTTGAAAGATAATACATCGAAAGTAATACAATTTTATTGATTGATACAACTATATGCCATAGGTAGCTCTTGTGTATGGACAAATGAATGAACCACCAGGGGCTAGAGCAAGAGTTGCTTTAACAGGATTGACAGTGGCTGAATATTTTAGAGATCAAGAAGGGCAAAATGTTTTGCTGTTTATTGACAATATCTTTAGATTTACCCAAGCTGGTTCTGAAGTAAATAATTTAACACATTAATTTTAATGATGACACCCATGCACCACTCGGAAAATAAATTGCCGACATTCATCACACGGTCTGAAAACATGCAATATTTTTATATGACACAGTTAATCTTTTTTATTTATATTTATTTTAGGTATCCGCTTTGTTGGGTAGAATTCCATCTGCAGTAGGCTATCAACCCACTTTAGCCACTGACATGGGAACTATGCAAGAAAGAATTACCACAACTAAAAAGGGGTCTATTACATCTGTTCAAGTATATTCAAATTAAATATTCATTTTGACTTGTATAAAGTTTTTTTTATTTTTTGTTTCCCAAATCAGAGATTTGAAATTTTATGAAAAATATTGCCAGTAATATAATTTCTTTTACTCTGAAAAGAAGTATAGAAGTCAGCAATGGATGATGAGATTTAGTTTATGAACTTTACCTACCTACTTACTTTCTAACATAACATGTTAATTTTTTTTATCCTTTCTGCTTATGCTCACCTAGTTCTAATCAAAAAAATAACTAGGCAATCTATGTTCCAGCAGATGATTTGACAGATCCAGCCCCAGCTACAACATTTGCCCATTTAGATGCCACTACTGTGTTATCAAGAGGCATAGCTGAACTGGGAATATATCCTGCAGTTGATCCCCTTGATTCTACTTCACGTATCATGGACCCTAATGTTGTGGGGCGAGAACATTATGATGTTGCAAGGGGTGTTCAGAAGATTTTGCAGGTTTTTTTTGTTTTATAATTTCAGGCCTTGCTTGGATATTTTAGAATAAAATAATTTAGGCCTGGCCTAAGTATATTTAAAAAATTAAAATATGGCCTGGCCTGTATATCTGGGCTTAGGAGCCTGGCTTGCAGGTCTCTGATGTATATAATCATGATTTTTTTATTTTATAAATAATTTCATATTAATAAATTAATGAGAGGAACTAAAATACAATTTAATTATTGTAATGTTAAAAAGTTTAAAATTACTATTTTTTTTATTTGAACAAAAAATGATTTTAAAATAGCTAATGAGTTACATTCAGCTAGTGTTGCTAAATGACTTAGCCAATTTTAAATATTTTGGTCAATTAAATTACTCAAGCTTCATTTTGCTCATAGGTGACACAAAGGTATTGGCATCTATATGCAAAATTTGAAGGTTTAAGTTATATTTTGGCTAAAATTTTGAATTAGCCCTTTTTAAAAATTGGTTAAATGGAGCTGTTTAACAACATTACATTCTCCCATAAAAATAGCAAATATTCTAAATGAGATATTAACTTCTGGAGAATAAAAAAATCAAAGTCACCAATCATTCATGAAAATGGTTGATTTTTTAAAAAATAGAAAATATTGATATTAGATGGTAAATAAAAATAATAAAATCAGAATTGGATTGGTTTTTTTAGTAATATCAGATTAGTGAAAAATTTGTGGATTGGTCAAGTATTGTTAGATTATTTCATCCAGAGAATATACGCAAGCCTGAAGATTTTGTTCATAAAAGGAACAAAGGTCTAGGCATATATTATCAAAATCTCGAGGCTTAGGGAATATTTTTCTGGCAAAAATATTGAATTAGCCGTTTTTAAAAATCGGCTCCAAATGAGCCATAATTAAATTTCTAAACAATCAATATATAAATATAATTATCTAAAATAAAATATTGTATAATTTGCCAAGGATTATAAATCGCTCCAAGATATAATAGCAATATTGGGGATGGATGAATTGTCAGAAGATGACAAAATAACTGTGGCCAGGGCACGTAAAATACAGCGCTTTTTGTCTCAACCTTTTCAAGTTGCCGAGGTTTTTACTGGTCATCCTGGAAAATTAGTCTCTCTTGCTGAAACTATCAAAGGCTTCAAGCAAATTCTGAATGGTTAGACTTGATTTTTATTTTAACATTAATCTCTGGAAATATTAAAGATTCTAAACTTTATTAGATTTAAAAAAAATGGCATACTCTATAAATTTATAAAATTAACTAAATTTATGTCTAAATTTTTACAATTTTATTACTCGATTTAGGAGAAATGGATCATTTACCAGAAGTGGCTTTCTATATGGTTGGAAATATTGAAGAAGCTGTTGCTAAAGCCAACAAATTAGCCGAAGAACAAAAATAAATACCTATTATTTAAATTTAGAATTATATGACGTTTTAAATTATAATTCATGCGTGCTTTATATTTATATTTAAGTGATTTTAGATAATTTTTTAATATATTTTTTGTATTGTTAATATAGTAATAAAACAATTTTATATCCCAATTATCTCTGAAATATGCTTTGCCTTAAATTGTGATAATTATTTTAATTAGATAAACTAATATTAAATCTTTTATTGAAGACACTCACTACCACTAATATTTATTAAATAAAACACAAAAGAAACATTAATATAAAACCAGATAATCAAAATGTATTTTTTTATATTGTGATGCTAGATGAATAAGAATTATTAAATAAAAATCTTAAAAAAATGATCCAGTAATGGTAAAAGAAAGTATTTCTAATTTTAAAATTTGATTTAATATCTTTGAATTGGGTAATTTTTATATTCTGTTCAAATAATCATTTTTATATAAATCATATCTTTTATGTAAATTACTTATTTTATGTTATTTTTTTCGTGAAGCAACTAGCCTAATTGAAGTTTAAATTGTAACCTTAATCAGTGCCTACATGACACAATATTCACTGGAATCCAAAAGTATACCTATCCTCCCTATAAATTTTTTTTACAGCCAATACATTTTTAATTATAATGGACCCTTAATATATTTTAAAAAGAATAACTTAAAAGAGTTATTTATTGGAGCATAAATTAATTTTAAAAAAATAAGGGGAAATTTTTTTTTATCGGAATAAAGAAAAAGTTTTTACTTTGTCTTATTTTAAATAATTCAACCAGGTCTGAAACCTCGCTTTTAATAAAAGCGTTCGGAATCCAGAAAAATAAGGACTTATAAAATTTGGCTTTAACAGAAACATGAGTTTTTTTAATAATTTATTTTATTATATATACATACTATATAGTATTCGCCATAAAAAATAATTTATTATATAATTATAAAAATAAATTACAGTTTAAAATATTATATTATATTTGTATTTAAATTTTTTTATTTAAGCTAATAATTATCGTATCATTGAGAGAATAAACAAAAAAACAATTTTTGAACGCCTAAATTCCTAAATTAAAAACTGGTTCGGGTTTAGTTTCGGGTTCCATAAAATCTTGAGGATTCGAGTTCTCAGCCCTGATTACCACTATAATTCTTAAAGAAAATAATATCATGTAACATTATTTTGTTTGAAAAATTTTCTCAGTCATTTTATAACACGGTTCGGTTCATTTTGTTAAATTGAATTAAGAGATTACTTTTTTTTTATATAAGAAGATTCAATTTTATAAATTAATTTGTTTATACGTTTAGATATTTCTTTAAAATAATTTTTAAGCAATTTGTTTTGCGTTTCCTAGTGTTGTTATTGTAACTATTCATCGGTAACTTAAGCTAGGCAAGGAACTTTTGATTATGTAATTAATAACCTAGTTACACAATATAAAATATAGCTCTCATAAAATTTCCCAAATTTAAAATTCCTGTTTATTTATAATGGCACATTGTAACATCATGCACTCATGTGTAAGTTTGATTAGTCTCAGGATATATTATTTTTGGAGAAAAATACGTTTCTTATGCTTAATTTATAGTAAACGCGTTATGTTCAAGCTGCGTTAATTTAACGCTATCGAAATCACAGCTTATTCTTCACAGAGTTAAGAATGACACATTGAGCGTTAATATTTTTTTGAAATTACGCAAACAATAGAGTGTTATCATGATAATGATAACGCTTCATATTTATAAATTATACCTATCTATTGGCTTAATGTTGTTAAAACTGGGTTAAATAAAGCACTACTTCATAACGCGTTTACTATAAATGCGGCCTTAGACACCAATTTTGAAAAATAGTTTATTGTTAAAGTCAAATAAAAATTTATTAAGCCATACAGTGAAAAGAAATATTAAATAGTGTCATTTACTATATATTTTTTTCAGCTAATTTATTTCGGTGTATTTTTTTTTCAGTCCAAAAATTTTCCAAATATAAAGGTATGGCAACACAGAATATTTAATTATAAAAACAAATGTATAAAAATGAAGAATTTAATAAATGCATATTTTAAGTTAGCATAAAATCATTTTGAATATCTTTGTAAATAAGTTCTATATCGTGTTTAAAATCGTTCAATTCATTCTCCAACTGAGTTATGTTTTCCAAAACTGTAAATAATTTTTGGACTTTTTCTTGAATATTCTGACCAGTTGAATCGTACATTTGAAAATAATGATCTTCGACCGTTTTGGTACATTTTGATACCTTATTATTTTAACGATTAAAAGGTATCATTAAAAATCATCAATATAATAGTATAGATTAGTTTATATCAGCCGCCAGGCCCATGGCCTACAGGCCCCTGGTTTATATGATAATGGTAATATTTAGATATTTTTTATATTTAAGAAAAAAAATTAAGACCTTAATAAAAATAATGATAAACGTGAATATAATAAAATATGTCAATATGAATAAAATTTACATATTCTTGCAAAGTTTTGCCGAAATCTTCGATTAAAGTTGAATCTTGCGCCCTTTTTAGATTAATATCATTAACAAAATTTTGAGCTGCTTTAGCCAGCATATCTTTTGTATAGTTTTTAGCTGCTGAGGGTGATAATTCAGAACTATATTTATGTTGTGATGATGGAATATCAAAACGATCAAATTCTTTATCATTTGCTCTTCTACTTAATAAATAAAAAAAAATTCTTCTAATTAAAGTAAATAAATTTTATAATTTTACTTTTTTGAAGCATCCTTCTCTTCCATACCATGTTTTATGATAGGCTTATCGTGTTTTATTTCAGGGTGATTATCCTCGATAATTTTATCCATGAAAATTAAGTAAAAGCAGACGATAAATTAAAATTAATTTATCAAATTATAAAAAAAATAATATTTTTGTAATTCAAAATTAAATTTTATTTAAAACTGAAGTCTGTAAAATTAGAATTGATTCACAAACTATTGATCTATTAATTCGTATATTATAGGGGAGACCAGAGCATATTTGAGACAGAAGAAGGTTAGTCAACTCCAATTTATTTCTAAACTATCATCATATATAGTACCGTAGCCGTGATTTATCTAGAGGAGGGGGAGTGGATTTATGATTTTTTAGAATGCTTGCCAAACCTCTACTGATCTGACGACCTGGTTTTTCCTATGAAATATTATACTTATTATTGGGTTTTCAGTGGTTATTTTTAATATGTAATTATCTTTTATATCATCTCCGTTAAAGTTGACCGAAGAATTGGAAGCCCTTATTTTAAATGTTTTTTTTTATTTGTGCCATAAATGCTTTAACAATGGTCAGTATAAAGTTATTAGTAATAAAATTTTGCACAACCTTATGATTAAAAAACGACTTGTAAGCATTTATTTTGAATATCGTTAGTATTTATCAAGCCCGCTTCTAGATTCATTCATTATGGGGGGGGGGGGTGAGAGTGTGGATAGCCAAGCAGTTAAGTTTTTTTTAAAACATCATAGAACGAATATTTGAGTTATTTTAAATTAGATGGAAGAGGAGAATTGACTTCTGGCTGAAAAAAATAAATTGATTTAATGATTTTACAAATATTATGTAATAACGTTGATATAGTTAAATTGTGATAAGGATTCAATTATAAAATATATGTAATAAAAATATTTTACAATTGATATTATTATCATATCAATGATTTAGCATTGTAAAACTAGTAAAAAAAATAAAGCATTAATAATATAATTTTGGCTGAGACGTATTTTTAAAAGGTATTTCAGCTAGTGTTATTAAATAGCCTGATTCTGGTGGATTTTTAAAAACTGGCCAGATTAAAATTTTAACCAAAATAATATTACGAGATTTTGATCACAGATGACAGCAAGGTTTAGACTTCTATTTGGCGCCAAATCTAGAGAGCTAAATACTATAATTTTGGCAAAAATCATATACGACCGTTTTTAAAAATCTACCCAAATCGGGTCTTTTAACAACACTAATTTCGGCAGACATGAATGAATAGTTTTTTCTTAAAACTGATAGTAGCTTGAACAGCAGTTATTTCTCTCCTATTACATTCTTATTTTTAAAAATTTATACAAAAATTTTTTTTCGTAGAACTAAAAGAATCTTCAAAAAAAAATTTTTTTTTTTTTGGGGGGGGGGAGCTTGAAATTCCCCCCCCCCCTTCCTACCATATGGGTCTTAAATCGGGCATCGTACTTATTAAAATTGTTATCGTTAGAATTTAAAATAATTAAAAATACTTTTAATATTTTTAAAATTATAAATTATATAAATTAAAATTATAAATATGATCTAAGTCATAGAAAAAAAAATCAAAATCTTTTCTATTTCACCTTATTATTTTAAATGATGGAAGATAATACTGAAAAGGAAGCTTAAGAGATAAATTTTTTTTTAAAGAAAATAAAGATGATATAGACCTAGAGGATATAGATTCCAGTTACATCAAGCATTTTTTTTATTAAGATGTTATTATTTTTATGAGATACTTTGAGTATCTGGATAATTGCAATTTTTTTCGATACTATAACTATTATTTATATAATTATTAGACTTTTCTAAAATGTTATTAAAAATGTTTTTTTAAAAGTAAAAAAAAATTGTTATTTACTTATTAATATCTATTTCAAAAATTTTTCGTCAAAGTATTTTGTTTATTTAAAAGACTATTTTTCGACGATTATTTTTTTTATAGACATTTATATATTAAGAAATTTTGTTGAAAGCTTTGCGTTAGTAACTTCATATGGAAGGGGGGGGCAGAAGTAGTTAATTTCATCAATTCGGAAAACTAATTATAGAAACCCATACCCAATCTTAAAAAAATTCAATCATTATCATAAGTGGAGGAAATTACTCGTCATAGCAAATGGAATATAACTATATCAATTTCTGAGAATTTTTTTTATTGTAGATATAATCGGAAGTCAGTTTAAAAGAATCAAATAAAATATTATTGTTTGAATCTCTCTTTTTTCTTTTTTAAAAAAAATATTTTATATAATATAACTAATTTATAATAAAATTTAAAAAAAAGGAAATAAATAAGTGAATCATTTATTTGCACAACTCAGCAATTATATTTAATTTTTTGATATGTACGCAAGACTAATTCTGAGAAAAATTTTAGTTTTTTGATGTTTATTATTACTCTAGTTTTAAAAAATATAAAAAAAATATATATATAAATTAAAAAATTTTTTTTAAATTATATTCATTGCTAACTAATTTGCTAATAAAGAGATGAATTTAATTATTTTTACATTTGCTATTGTATTCGTCAAGAGCTTAGCAACTCAAGAAGACAAAGGCAGTGATGCCGGTAAAAAAAATTATACATTATACATTATACATTATACATTATATATATATATATATATAAATTTATAAAGGTAAACTCCTATACGTTTTTCAAGTGTTTCGCCATGGGGAGAGAGCTCCATATAAAGAACTATCGCCGGAAAATTTTACCTTTGATAATCATGTTTGGCCAAATGGTGAAGGTAATATGACAGATCACGGTATTTTACAAATCATAAATTTGGGGAAGCAAAATTCAAAACGTCATAAGAAATCATTTGGAGAAAGATTTAATTTAAATGGAGATAATATAAAACTGTCCTCCAGCAAATCTATCAGGGCTATACAGACAGCGATGGCCTATTGGATAGGATTACGAAATAAAGGGAAAAAAAATTCTCGTATATTGACGCTGATTAAGTCGATGAAAACTAATGTAAATATAAATAGGGCGGAAGATCCTGATGTTTTATTGAACGCCGCTACGTTATGCTCAAATTATAAATCCGAAATAATTAATAACATTCAAAAAAATCCAAATTTTATAATTGAATTTGAAAAGGTAATGCCTATATTTTCAAAGCTGCAAAAATTATTTTACAGTGATTTAACACGGGATCCAAAAAAAATTATTATTCGTTTACTCGAATTAGGCGACTTGTCAAATTGTGTTAACAGTCTCAAAAATAGACCCGATGAAGAATATTTGAACCCAGAGGAAAAATTAAATGAGGAAAATAAGTTTAAAGAAATCGAAAATAGTTTAACAAATATATGGAATGTTAGTCAGGATGATACAGATATCATCGACAACTTTCTGGATTTGATATTTGTGAACGCCGTAAAGGACAACGTAGCTTTACAAAAAAATATCATAGGTAGTTTATTGGACACTCTCATAGTAAAACTAAATGCTCATAGGGAGACTTACAATGAAACAGTGATGACTAAAGATGGAAAAAATAGGCGATATTTGAGAAAGAGACCATTGTTAGAACTTGTTTCGGCTCACGATCATACGTTGGGTGCATTTATGACAGCATTAAATATTATATACAATAAAAGACCAAAATGGGGAGCCCTAGTTAGTATAGAACTATGGAGATCGGGGAAAAGAAAGAATCCCATTCATACAGTAGTAGTGGTAAAAAAGGAAGGGATAATTAAAGAATTTCAAGTAGTTTATAAGTTATCTCTAAGTGAATTCATAGAAGCAACAAAAAATCTTGTGCAAAGTAAGGAAGATGCGCGAAAAAACTGTATTATTAAAACTCATAAATAGGGATAATTAATTTAAATTATGAAATAACTGAATCTATTTTAATATTTTTATATATTCTTTATAAAGGCAAATAATTTGGGTTTAATTGGTACAAGGCAACTAATTTGGGTTTTAATTGGTATACCATAAATAAAAAAAAAGTTGTAATAACGAACGAGTATATATAATTTTATTTATCATAAATTTGACTCGAAATCTATTACTTACATATTAAACGGAGGGGGCAGTTCAGTGGGTATTACTTTAATACCAGTAATTTTTAAAAGTTTATTTAATTATATGGTAGCAATACTTTATATTACTTAGCCTTTAAAGAAAAATATTTCAAAATTGATGTTAATGCTTAAAATTTATTTAAGGAATAGATATTTTGATGAGAATCAGAATTCTAGTTATCAAGGCAATTGGCAAATGATAACCAATGCAATGAGTGAACAATTTAATGGGCTTCAGGCATTAAAGGAAATATATCCTAAGGCTATATATGTTTACTGTGATGCTTATGGAACTTGGCAATTTCTGATTCACGACTTTGATATAAATTTGCTTAGCAAATTTAAGTTATTCTTGATAAAAAATTTTCATTTATATTAGGCTAAGTATTTAGCATCCATAAGATGAGTAGGTATCCTAATAGACAAAATCTATTAAACCAAATTATAGTTGAAACTTCTTGTAAAACACGGTGAAAAAAAATTTCAAAAAACTTATTCAACATAATGAAACCTTCGCTATCTAGTAGCAACAGCTTTTATGGAATTAGCAGTGCCTTATAAATGCTCTACTGAAATAACATAATTATCTGAAAAAGGTGTTTCTTCGGAAGCTGACAGCATGAGTATTATATGTAATATATTTGAAAAAAAAAATAAGATCGATTAGAATGAGACTATGATAACAGCTAATGCTTTATATCAGAACTTAAGGAAATTAGGGAAAATGTAGATGACGAATTTCATAAATTAATTTTGCCTATTTCGACTAGCATCAAAGCAAACCCATATAAACTATTTTATCTCACTCTTGGAAACATTTATTAATCAAAGGTGATTCATCCGTTAGCAGTTATAAATCTCTAATTAACGCAGCATATTAACGCAGCCTCCTTTCGAATCTACCTCAAACCTTAATAGCGAAAAAAAAATTAAATGAACGAACAATTCCTTCTATAACAAGAGTAAAAAAAATATCTGAGAAGTACTACTTCTAAAAATAAAATTGACACCAAGAACTGATAAATTTGTGAAATCTCGAGGCTTAGGAAATATTTTTCTGGATAAAATATTGAGTTAATCGTTTTTAAAAATCGACTCAAATTGAGTCGTTTAACAACACTAAGTATTAGTATGATTTATTTTGGTAAGTGTTTTAAACCCTAAAATTGCTTGATTTTAATCTAAGCTCTCTAAACTAAAATTGAGCCCTATGCGTTATGTGGGCTAGAGGTCTGCATTGAGCAGATTTTTTAGCCTGCCCGCTAGCTCGTATTTCTAGCGGGCATGGTCTGGGTTTTTAAAATAATTTAACATTGGGCGAGTGGCGGGCGATATAAAGGATTAAAAAATTTAAAAATGTAATGTGGGCTAGGGTTTGTTTAATTTATTTAATGCTAAATGGTATGCAATTTTTTTTTTTAAATTCAGGTCTTCAATCTACTCATATAAATGTAGAAAAATATAGAAAACTTGGAGATATTGAAATGTCAATATAGTCTCCAAGTTACTATATGAGCAATCACCCGTAATTATACCATTTATTTTTTAAAAGGTTAAAATATATCGTTTTTTTAGAATTCATCTTTTCTCGAGTTGTAAACTCCTAATACCCTCTTTCCATTTTATGTTATTTTCTTAACAATCCACATTATTTTTATTTGGCTAAGTTGGCTCTAATCATATGGGCGCATTAAAGTTTTGGCCTGCCTTTCTGTAACCTATCTCCTCTAAATTCTGAACCTTATTTCCAAAATAGTTTTCAGGGCCTCTTCATTGTATGCCTATATCACCTTAGTCTGTTTAACTCATTTTGTATTTTTTATGGTTAAAACTACCTTTTAAATTCCTATTATATTTATATTTTGTATCCTTTTTTAGTTACCCTAGTAGTGTTATAAAACGGTTTTTGAGCCGATTTTTAAAAACTGCTAACTCAGTATTTGATCTATAAAAATATTACGCAAGCCTGAAGATTTTGCTCATAGATGGTACAAAAGTCTACACATCTATTAGCGAAATCTGGAGGCTTTAAGCTATTTTTTTTCTGGCTTAAATATAGAATTAACCGTTTTTCAGGCTCAAAACAAACCGTTTAACAACACTATACCCTAGCTATCATGCTCAGAATTCTCAATTATTAATCCAATTCTTTTGTTAGCCACGTTTCTAAATTATATAGTAAATAGAATACTGCTAGTATTACTATTTTTAGTTGAAAAATTCAGAATAAATTATTTTGCAGATTCTTCAATTTAAAAAAAATGAGATTTTTGAAATGTATTTAGAAATGAGCCGCATCTATTCTTATTAATTTTAAAAAAGGGTTATTTTTTTCAAATTTTATCGAATCGAGTTTGGACATATATTGTATTAATGCGAAATGCATTAATAAAAGATAAGATTTTATTATAAACAGAATTTAATTTTTTAAAAAAAATATATGCATACACTTAAACTTTGAAAATAAGAATACATTTTTTTTTCCTTTTACATTTTACAACCTTCTTAAACGGCTCGTTTTGAGCCGATTTTTTAAAACGGCTAACTCAATATTTTAGCCAGAAATATTTTGCCTAAGCATCGAGATTTCGATGATATATGCCTAGACCTTTGTTCCCTCTATGAGCAAAATCCTGGATGAAATATTGAGTTAGCCGTTTTTAAAAATCGGTTTAAAACGAGCCGTACAACAACACTGGTCATCATACACCATAAATATCTTAAAAAAAGGAAGGCAACCATGGAAAAATAAATTACATAAATGTATCATTTTTCAATTTTCTTTAAATAATATATAAAATTTTATTAGCAGAGCAGCATAACATTAAATACATAATATATAAGCATAAATTTTTTTAAAAAATATATAAATATTTTGAAATAAATTTAGAGGTTAAAAATGAAAGCATTTGAATATATAAAAACGAAGATTCCCAATTATGATGAATCGAACCCAACTAGCAGAATATCCTGAATGCTTTGCATTGTTCTCTCAATATACCATCGACGGTTAATATGTTTTGGCAGACATTACAAAAGTTTGAATGCAGAGATTTATTTATCTTTTAAAAGTATACATATATAAAATATTACAATAACTAACAACACTATTTTCAGTAGAGTTGCAAAGTTCGGCTTGAGGGCCGGGAAATTAAATTTTTTTTTTATAACGGACCGACAAAAAATATAACGGTCTAGACAAGGAAATTTATGCCTAAAATTTTTTGACCGGGCCAGACAATTTATGCGTAATAAAAGACAGAGTCTCGATATCTTATTTTACCTAGAGTTTTAATAGTCCTTTTAAATTTCGTGTTAATATTAGATGTATATTAAAAATGTGATAGCGGGAAAATGAGTACAAACATAATTTAACGGGCTAACGGGCCGGAAGTGGGCTTACGGGCCAGGCCTTACTTTTCATAACAAGGTTTACATTGGCAAATTTAATATAAAAAAAACTGTAAGAGGTCTGGCTTGTCAAAAAATCGGGCTAGGCCGGCCAACTTGTGCAAAAAATTCCTAACGCCGTAGCGGGCCAGGCTTTGGAGACCTCTAATTTATGATATTACAAATAAAGTTGTTTAATATTATATTGATCTTTATAGAGAGGCGAAGATTATAAATTTATCTAATTATAATAAATATGGGTGCATTCAAAGTAAGAAATACTGTATAATTAAGAGAAAAAACTGTTTCTACAAAAACTAATAACAATCCCACCTTACCACTTTATTGCTTATGAAGAGTAAATATGCCGTTAGATGTACAGAAACAATAAATAAATAAATTATTGTATTAACCAAACCTGAGTTCCTATATTATCTCCAAACTTTTCTAACCACTCCTTTTTAAGATTCTCTTTATAATAATCGGATATATCGAAAGATCTTCCAAACGTTTTCTGCGTTAAATATTGCGTAATCTAATATGAGTGAGAGATAATATAAGTTTTGTAAACTTTGGAAAATATCATAACTCTAAAAATTTTTAATCCTATAGAAATCAAAAATTATAATTTGCAACCCTCTCCCCCCCCCCTCTTAGAAATAATAATATAGTTATGATGAGAAAGAATAGCAAATAAAAAAGAAAATATTATTAATAAAAATTTTTTAAAGAACTCTTTATCCATAACGCATAATTTTATATAAAATACGTATGATATAACCAAAATATCTTTAAGTCCATCTCCTATAACGTTATATATCACGCCTCTATTATCTAACACTTTGAGCACCCTTTGATATTGCTCAACATTTAAGGCCTAGATAAAGTAAAAGAATAGAATGAACTTACATTTATTACATGATAATATATAAAGAAAGAAATGAAGAAGTAGGTTGAAAGAGGTGTGTTTAAACGGTATTTGATGAAAGGAGATGAATGCAAATTTTGATGGATCCATCTCTCAGTGGATATCCAGAAAGAGTATTGATTACTGTCTCTAACTCATTAAACGTTGGTTCTAGGTCTATCGGTTGCTGCAAAATCTTTGCCAAATTTATTTTATCATATAGCACATCGCTTTTTTTGTTTTGTTTATTTTAATTTGGAAATATTTGTATGAATTTATTATTAAAAAGACTGTGTATAAAACATTTCAAAAAAAATAAGAATTCGCTTTGTCTAAAAGCAAAATATGGCTAAATGTCAAATTTTCAAAATCTTTTCATATTTTTTAAAACAGGGTTTGGTCCACAACCTAAAAGGATATTATTATTAAATGTATTTTTTTTTAAAACTCGTAATAGGAGGTCGTAAAGATATTTTCGCTATTGAAACGTTTGCCGAATTTTGCACGATCAGATTTTATGATATTTAGATCGTATAGTAACGCGTATTTAATATCCGATTTGAGTATAGTTTCAATCTTTAGCGCCAAGTCTAATATTAATTGCTTGGTAGTGTTTCTGCGTTAATTCAATCGAAGATGAGATATATTTAAAAAAAAACTAACGTTAAAGAGATAATATCTAATATATCTTTTATAGATCAAACATTACATCTATGAAGATTATTATTTAATTATTATCAATAATCATTTAAAATTTAAATTGAGCACAAATTTTTATGAAAAATACATATTATCGAAATTGGTTTAAATTTAAAGTCCTATATATAAATATATATATAGTTTATATGTCGCGGTTTAGTAAATTGGAAATTTTAGATAAAATTGGCTGTAAAATCTTAGACAAGGCAAAAATATGTAAAATTTATTGGAATATATTATAATAATGACTCCTAGAATACAATTAGGGCAAAATGTAATTTTTTTTAAAATCACAATTTATGAAAATCAGCCATAAATGATTAAAAAACCCTGACAAGACTTAGAATGGAAGAATATAGTTTCGGATCTCACTTTTAGTATGAACCTATCGATCTATTTCAAAAAAATTTAACTGTCTTAAGATATGTGTATGTATTTATAATAAGAAAAATATAAACTTAGAATCAGTGGACACGATGAAAATTATATCGAAAGTTGCCGGTTTGATCCTCCCTTTCCAAATAGTCGGAAATAAAAATGTGTCAACTTTGGCATCTTCACCTATAAAGTGATAATTATCAATATCTATATATATTTTTTTTAAAATAGAAGTTATAAACTGGGTTTAAAAAAAAATGATTTAATATATATGGATACAATTCTTTTTTTTTTGTGTAAAAATCACTAAAGTCATATTTAAAATCAAACTTAAGTCTAGAGTATAATAATTATGAATAAATCTATGTGTTACTTTGGTCAATAGAATAATGTCGACTTTGAGAAATAAATAGTTATGATGGCTGTCAAAAGTGGGGCGTCATTCGGGCTGAGCAGGTGTCACCTAATTAAAATTAAATTATGACCCCCCCCCTCTTATTAGTGACGTCACTTTTGCCAAAAGGGATGATTAATAATTTTTTTTATTTATAATGATACAACTTAAAATATTGTAAAATTAATGATATTATTACAATAATTGAGTTGAGGCAGTATTATATTTCTGTTTCTACATATGGTCCTGTATAAGCTAGCTATTTTACATATTCCCCTTTCACGCTGAGTTCCACTGATAGCTTATTTATATTTTCAAATGTATAATCTGTTTATTATTACTCTAATTTAAAACTATTTGGCTCTGTAAAAAAATAAATAAAAATAAACTTGACAATATTATAATAATGGATGGCCTAAATTTTAAAATTGAAGTTACAAATCTTCGGGCTGAGAGTCATAGCGCTCTATATGGTTTTGGGTTCAGGTTCGTTTGGTACAAAACAGAAATATCGGCTTGGTTTGAATCTGTACTCCAAAACAGTTATAACTTAATTTTTATAGCGTATAAAAACAAAAATGTATATATTCCGAAGTTCGGAATAGAAAATTTGAATCAAGCCGAAAATGAAAATTAACAACTTTATAAATTGATAATTAAAAGTCTCTTTCATAGGGCTAGGACCTAATTTTGTTTATTTTCGGGGATCTAAAAATGATTCTCGTTTAATTAAACCCATCGTAAATATAAAAAAAAGTTACTTTAGATATCTTTTGGTGCATCAAAATATAATTTAATACTTATGCAGGATTGATAAAATGGTTCCGGAGGCACATCCTGAGAGCATGCGTAGAACGGTGACATCATGTTCCAGTCATCAAATGCATCTTTGCATAAACTTGTATATTCTAAAATGTTATAATGATTTTATAAAAAAAATTGTATATTATTAAATGATAGAATGAAAGAATAATAAAACAGAGAATAAAGAATAAAATTTAATTTTAAACAGTTATATAGTTTTAATCATCTACTTGTTTCAGTTAACACTTGGGATTTTAATTCAGAACTCAATGGAGTGTACGAACACAAAGGGATACCCTTAGGTATATTTGTATATATTTTGTCGTTCCCTGGATTTATATCGTTATTCCCCAATAGGCCGTAGATGGAACCATGATATTTAGGATATCTAAGTATCAAAACGCATGTCATGTCAGTATGGTAAAGATGCTTATCTTCGCAGATCAGTTCGATACCTGCAAATTTAATCTTTTATTTTCGTAATTTTTATTATGCAAGGTTTTAATATTTGTCAGTGTACCGCAATGGCCAATTAAGCCCGGCTCGTTTTTTTAAAAATATTTGAATAAATTTGGCTTTAAAATCATTTATAAAGGTAAATCGAAAATAAGAGCAGTATATAAATATTAAAAGCCCCATTATATGATTTTTCCAACACTTCTTTCTTTCTTTCTTTCTTTCTTTCTTTCTTTCTTTCTTTCTTTCTTTCTTTCTTTCTTTCTTTCTTTCTTTCTTTCTTTCTTTCTTTCTTTCTTTCTTTCTTTCTTTCTTTCTTTCTTTCTTTCTTTCTTTCTTTCTTTCTTTCTTTCTTTCTTTCTTTCTTTCTTTCTTTCTTTCTTTCTTTCTTTCTTTCTTTCTTTCTTTCTTTCTTTCTTTCTTTCTTTCTTTCTTTCTTTCTTTCTTTCTTTCTTTCTTTCTTCTCTTTCTTTCTTTCTTTCTTTCTTTCTTTATAATTTATATTTATTTTAAGTATGATATATATATATATAATAATTAGAAATATGCTAAAATTCTTAAATTATAGCCCTGACGCTGAATATGCAAAGGTTTAAATTTTATTTAATAATAAAAAAAACAAAATAATTAAAAAAAAATTCATAATATTTGCTGTCTGACATTTAGGAAGTGTCCCTTCATGTAAATCAACCCTATCGAGTCATTATATCCTTTTAATAGGTACGGCAATGTTTCTACGTTCCGTTCGTTTAGTTTAATCGTTATATAGTGCACATGGGTGCTAGTCGGATTGGGTTTGAGAGTATCATTCTCGTTTTCGAAAATCAGAGATAGGTCACCTAATATGGTTCTTAAAGTTAGTTGATTAGAACCTCTCTGGAATAAAGTAAATTTTCCATAAATATCGTGAGCTAAAATGGAGCTGGAGAAGCGTTTATATATTTTTTTTGATCATAAAAAAATTTGTTATGTTAACTATAGTTATAATATAATAATAAAGTTATATTTAAAATAATATTAACAAATGGTAGGAAATTTAGAATTTTTACGAATCTAAAAGGTGATAAGATATATTAGATTTTCATTCCAAGATTTAAGTTTACACAACATATCTAGTGTTGTGAATTTTCGTGATTCTTAACATGTCCACCCAACACTTAAGCCGACATAGGTTAGCTCGGATTTCATCGAGTCTGTTGTTTTTCCGCAAACCCGCCCCGAATCGCGGGGAAGGACTAGCTTGATAAATTTAACAAGATTAATCATATTCATATTAACAGGCACTATAGCATATGAATTGATCATCTTACCCCTAATAAGTATTTTTATTTGACGTAAGGTGGAACTTACATACAATTTTCGGTGTTTATTTCCTTCAATTTTGATACGCTCCCGTCAAAGGATATGGTCAAATCCTTCATTATAACTGCTTGTCTCAGATATATCCTAGTCGGTTTCTCATTTAAACCAAAATTCCTGGCAGTGTTCCAAAACTTGAATCCTGGTATTTGATATAACTTGGCAAAGTATGTCAAATATATTTTTACGTCATCAGGTTCTATTTGAGGCAAATGCTTTTTTGTTAAAAAAAAATTGGATTAGATTAACTATATTATATAGATATATAAACGATGCATATATTAAAGTTTAAAGAATAAATGTATTAATATTATCATCATAGTTATCAAACAAGAATAAATGTGCAATGAACCGTAAAATTAGGCCATCTTAAAGGATGGTATAATATTTGAAAGAACGACAAATCATTTATCTCCTTTATATTCCATTTCCGGGTTGTTGTGATAGATGAAATTCGATTCCATAATGTGGTCCACTTTATAAACCATAGGTTAAGCGGGTTAATTATGACTAGATTAGCAATGGAGAGCCTGATTTCGTTAACCAATTCATTTGTATTTTCAGCTATAATTAAATTAATTGATTTACAAATTTTAGGGTGGGGGGATTTGTTAAATAAAAAATAATATAGTCCCATGAATATAAATTTGGTCATTTAATAATAGCAATCTAAAGTGAAGCTAAGGCTCAGATTGCTAAAATAATGTTCGTTTATGGGCTTAAATTTATTAGCACATAGAGATTTGAATTGCAAAATAAGCAGGGGTTGCGTTAGCAGGGCCAATAAATTCAAGCGATTTCTGTCCCTTCCAAACAAAATTCTATTAAGGTTTCCCTGCACACCCTTAGAACTAACCCGAACATTTAACTCTTTGCTATAAACTCCATAACATAAAATCCTTCACTTACTCACTCACTCACTCACTCACTCACTCACTCACTCACTCACTCACTCACTCACTCACTCACTCACTCACTCACTCACTCACTCACTCACTCACTCACTCACTCACTCACTCACTCACTCACTCACTCACTCACTCACTCACTCACTCACTCACTCACTCACTCACTCACTCACTCACTCACTCACTCACTCACTCACTCACTCACTCACTCACTCACTCACTCACTCACTCACTCACTCACTCACTCACTCACTCACTCACTCACTCACTCACTCACTCACTCACTCACTCACTCACTCACTCACTCACTCACTCACTCACTTATTCTCTCATGATATATTGCAAAATTTGTAAAAAGCGATATTCAAATATTTTGCTAATTAAACTTTAAGTAGAAAATAAATGAAAAAGAAATTATAATGATGAAGAAATAAGCATAATGCAAATTTAATGTATAAATAGTCAAAAACAAGGAAAAACTTTTACTCTGCCTTCACAGTTATAGCGAATTCGCGGTAAAGTCGAATTGTCGCTAACCGTGAATGCAGGTTAGTTCTTTAAAGGTGTGGCTCGTTTCCGCTTCTTATATCCTCAATTTGCCTATGAAACATTTAAAAAAAGACAAATTATTTAGAACAATTAAATTTAAAAAAATACTATTCTTGGCTGGAAAATTAAAAAAAAAAAAATTGAAAATAGGCGGGCCTAAAAAAATTGTATCTTATCACTGCAGGTTCATAATAATATCAGCATTTATTATTTAAGTAAGTTGTTAAGTTAAACATTATTGATCAATATAAATTTTTCTCAAATTAAACGAATTTAATCCAACCACCCATAATTTTATAAAAATTAAAAACAAATAACTATCAAATATTATTATTTTTCTTGTTCCCGCTCTCGTGGAAGATTATTTTCTCATCTTTGAAAGGCATAAAATTTATTTTACGATCGGCAATGAGTTAAAGACAATTAACCTCATTTACACATTATGGACATCAAATATTAATTTTTTATATAGCCAACTGATTCAGTTATATATAGATTTTTAGATATCTAGTAGTGTTGGTAATCGGCTCGATCTAAGCCCAATTTTTTAAAAATGGCTAACTCATATATTTTATCCAGAAAAATATTACTCAAGCCTTAGGTAAGTCATAGATAGCACTAAGGTTTGGACATACATTAGCGAAATTGCGAGGCTTTGGCCCTATTTTTCTCCTTTTTAAAAATTGGCTCAAATCGAGCAGTTTAATAACACTAATAACGAAACAGTAAAAAGTATTTATTTATATCATTTTTTTCTTTTTTTTTAAAAAAAAGAATGATTTTATTAACATAACACGATAAATTTTTTAAAATAAATATTATAATACTAAGATATTTTTATCTTGATGGTCCAGGAGGATCAGGAAAAACATACCTTTGCAATACTTTAATACATTATCTTAGAGGGCAAAATAAAATTGTATTGCCATTTGCTACTACAGGAATTTCACCCATACTACTAATTGATGGAAAAACAATTCGTAGTGGCTTTAAACTTCCTATACCTATTTTAGACACATCGATTTCACAGATACCTCGATCTACATAAGCTAAGTAACTTAAACTTTCCCATTTAATAATTATAGATGAATCAAGCATGATGACAAAACATGCTTTACGTTGTCTAGTTGTCTTGCTTAGAGAAATTATACAAATAAATACCCCCTTCGGAGGCAAAGTTATTTTATTAGGAGGTGATTTTAGACAAACTTTACCTGATATACCTAGGACCTCTAAAACATGTATCATCGAATCATGTATTAAATCTTCAAATATATGGCATATTTTCCACCAAATTCAATTGACCCATAGTATGCGCACTTATTCTGAGGAGGAAAGTTATATCAAATAGCTTCTACAAATAGGTGAAGGAAATACATCTCGATTACCCCCCCCCCTTCCTTCCTACTATGTAGAAATTTCCATATCTATGCTTGGGAATTCTCTAATTTCATCCAAATATGGTGATTCCCTTTTACTTAATAATATTGATTATTTATCTACCCGCATAATTCTAATAACAAAAAACGATATTGCACTACCCTTAAATAACACTATTATAGCTCTGATTTGTCGTTGCACTTCTAAAAAAAAATACAAAAATTATGATTGTTTCCCAACTTTTGCAAGGACATATGCTTCCTAATCAAAAAAAAAATACATACTTAAAAAATTGTGTATACTTCTATTTTATAACATCATCTATATTACCTACCTTTATGTTTAAATAAACATACTGATTATAAATTTTATATTGTTCCTTTTATTTATATGACTTTAAATACGAGTGTGTTGGATAATTAATAACTATCAAGTCTTAAGATATTTTTTTTTCACATCTCTGTCTCTATATTCTATACTTCTACCTTCTTTTATTCATTCTTTTTTCATCTATTTGCTTCCCTAAAACCAATCTCCCACCTTCACGCGGTGGGGAGCGAACAGCAATACTGACTAACGGGAGCTCTGGTACTATTAGTTATTATTTTTATTTTGCCCTTCGAGAAACTCTTCTCCCATATTTGAATCAGAAATTAAGAATATCTTATGAGGTATGATACAAATTTACCTCTTTTTCTACTAAATTTCAATATTTTTAAGTACCATATACACAAACCAACTAATTACCCCTCAACCCCATCATTCTTGACGGGTTATTAGCTAGTAACATATAATTAGTTTTAGGGTGTCTTTCGACACTCGAATAAAACATTAACACAACAGCATGAATATAATATTATTATTTTTTTTAGTTCTAGATTATCTGGAAGAAAAAAAATGTGAACAAAATTAAAAATCTTTCCGGAAATGGGTTCTGGATTTTAATAATTTTGCGTCGTGTGATTGGTTTTATTTTTATCGTTTGGAGCAGTAGATACATTTACTAATATAAAGCTTTAAATAATAAATAAATAAATTTTTAAACTCAAAATTTATTCTATATCAATTTTTTTTTGATACCTAATATCGAATATTATAACAACGTTGCTAAACAAAATGGTAGATTTTTTTATTAAATAAATCAACAGAATTGCAAAAATTATATTAAATTTCTAAAAAATTTAAAAGAATATTTAATCACTGCTGAGATAATTAGCTTTATTTTTTTTATATGCTTTTATAATATTATATTAATTCTTCCTATATCATACGTAAAATTTTTAAGATTAAATAAACAATTAAAAAAAAATAATTTTCATTAAATAAATATTACCTAAACCTGGGAGAGAAATATAATTCTATTTTTATTAATAAATAATAATACGCCATCTTTCGTATAAAATAATGTTATATTTTTAAATATAAAATTTCCACATTTTGCTTCTAACAAATTATCAATTTTTTGAGAGTTTCGTTGAAAATAATATTAGCATTATTTATTAAATACAGATTTAACTTACAAAGTAACTATACTCTTGAAATTATAATTAATACATATATTACAATAGAAATAATTCCAAGCCATTATTATATTGAAAACAATCTTTAAAATAAATTTTTTTACTAATTAATTAAATTCAATATGGTAAAATTTTAAAAATGTCAGCTATTAAATTCAATATGGTAATAAATGGCAAAATTTTTCATCAAAATTCAATTCAATATTGTAATAATTAAATTCAATATGGTAATAAATTTTAAAAATTATGGTAATAAACAGCAAAATTTTAAAAATGTCAGTTATTAATTAATATAAATTTATAATTAATATTTTAAATTTAATTATATCTAAGTTGGTGCATAAAGCATACGCCTTTGAAACGGGAGGTTTGTGGTTCGACTCTCGTAAAGAGCAAAAAATTTAACATAACACTATATAGTCTCCTTAAATTTTAAATACATTAGGAAGATACGAAAACGATCTTGTTTTGATTATGGAGATTATACATGTGATGATTTAATGAAACATGTTAACGATTCATATAATTATTTAGTTTGCAAAAATAATTAAAATAACACAAGGAGGGATAAAAGAATTTTCAATAATGCTTTGGTCTATATTTTAAATTATTTTTGCAAACAAAATATTTTTATATTTGGATGGGTTTTAATTTAATAGTCAATATGTTTCATTAAATCATCAAAACACTGTATTAGATTTCCTTTTGTGTTCTGGGGGAAAAAATATTAATAAATAGTTAAATATAAAATTATTTACGGATAAGATCGGGTAGGGATTTAAGGTAATAGTTATCTGGATTATACGCAAATTCATTATACGAAGAGGTGATGGGATTGATTGAAGGGAATATCCATATGGGATTCAAATATTGCCCCAAAATAGTTGTGTACGAAGAAACGATGTAATACCAACTCACATATATATTTTCCATATTAACCTTAAACGAATCGAAACATATAGTATAATAATTATATATAATTTTTCAGAAATTATTTGTTTAATATTCTGATAAATTATTTTTACGTCAAATTTGGTCCTCAAATAGTTTTCAAAAATGATCTTAAATCTTTGCTTGAAGGAAACGGAAATGGCTATGGCTTGAGAAGATAGCCAGCGAGCTTCTAAAAACGCCAGATGTATTCCATCCTCCAAATTTGACTTTAAAAATTTTATTAATTATATTTAAAGAATTTAGTAAATATAATTTGTTACACATCAGATCTCATATAATATTAATTCAAAATATGAAACTCTTTAAAAGTAGGAGTGTTTTTCGTTTTTTTTTCAGCCTAGCTTTTTTAAAGACTAAGTGATCTCACAGGCTGAAAAAACAATTTTTGTTTAAAAAGGGGACAATATGTGACATAAAATATCTATAAAATATAGCACCTCCAAATGACATCTTTTATAAACTTGTTTAAAAAAATATATATCGATAAGTGGGTATTATTTTACCATGTTATAATAGTAAAATAGAGAGGTAGACATGTAAGTTCCGTTATTGTGGGTAAAACCTTTGCTCTGTATCATTCCGAAATCCGAGATATTGAGACTAAACTTGTTTCCAAATTGGCGCAAAGGGGATATCAACCCGATATTTAGGGTGAGAGTAGTGTTAATAAGTGCCCAAACCTTATAAAAATAAATGAGATAAAAAAAAGCAAATAATATATGTTGAAAAAAAAGAAGAAAAAAAGACCCGAAGCAAGGATGATTGTTTGTTAGCATAAAGATAAGTTATAATGACTAGGAATTTTATAAAAAAACAAAATTTTTTTTTCAAATGTAAGAACTAATGAATGTGGTTAAACGGCTCAATTAGAGCCGATATTTAAAAACGCTAACTCAATATTTTATCCAGAAAAATATTATGCAAGCTCTAGAGATTTTACTCATAGATGGCACATAGTATTGAACATCTGTTGGCGGAATCTCCACGCTTAGGCAATATTTTCCTGGCTATAATGTTGAGTTAACCGTTTTTAAAAATTGGCTCAAATCGAGCCGCTTAACAACACTAGTAAGAACCGAAACAAGAAAGCATGCGCAATAATTATTACTTTAAAACAATGCTCCATCCTATCTCACTAAAATCAGCTACGAATTTTATCGAAGAACTTAGTAATTATTTTTTGTCAAAGTTTCCAGTACAAGATACATTGCTAATTAGTAATCATTTCGTCTTAAATATTAATTCACGGTGAGAATATTTGCAAATTTTTTTTTTCATCTAATGGTTCTCTCATAAGATAACTTTAATAAATTACTTATACATACTTTAAGTAAATTTTTTTATCATTACAATATATATTTTTTTTATGTGTGATAAAGATGGTCAAAAAAAGCTTTAAAAAGAAAGAGAAGCCAATTATTTTATAAAATTCAATATTATTAATTATATATTTATAAATTTCTCTTAAAAATAAATTATATGGTTTAATAAAAATTTTTTTTAAACTTTTCCAACGAATGATCGCGAATAAGTGAAACTGAAGAAACTATTGGATCCCTTTTGGATTGTAGGAGTCAAATATTTTGCTTGAAAATTTAATTCGGAGTCGTATATCTTTCTATGTACCGAGCATTGCTTAGAGGCCATAGCATTATTCCCGAAATTTATTTTGCCTTAAATTAATATTATATGACGTTTATAATGATGATATAACTAAAACAATCCGAGACAAATTTAATGGGAACAGAATTTAAGTAAATTATTTTTTATATCAAGGACGCTCATGATTTTATCAGAAGTTGACTGGGTTTTATAATTAAATCGTTGAAAATATAAGATATCATTTCATGAATAAGTGTTATTGTAAAAAAAATAAATAAAACGGATTGAAAAATATTAAATATATATATTTTTAAATGCAATAACTTGTGCATGAATAGTTATAATCGGATTGAGAATCATATTGAGATCGTGAAAATCCTGAATCGGTTCTAATGTACAGAGATTCATCTTTAAATTTCTTCTTTATAAGTTCTTTGTTGTTAGTGAACCCAATCATATTCACGGTCAATGATTCGCTCTCGTAGTAGCTAAAGTTGTAACTTTACATAAAATTAAATTATTTACACTTTGAAATTTTATGAAATAGGTTCGAGCCCGACATTTTTTTTTATTTGAATGTTGTAAAATAATCAGGCTTCAAAAGAAATTGGAAAAATTATAAGGGATAATAAATTAATTTTATGGTTGTTTCTTTAAAATGTGAATCTTCATAAAAAGCATTTGGAAATACGAATAAATTCAAAATTTGTGTCGAGGTTTTTCGAGTAAGTTATGGTCCGAGATAAATTCCAAAATCAAGGTACGAATGGGACTGAGTCGCAGCGAATGTCTGCTATAATTCGGTCGCTTGACCCAAGTTCGGTTTGGATTGAATTCGGATAGATCCTAGCAGGGTTCTAATTAAAGATCTCTTATAATTTTAAAGCCAAAGTGTCGAACTTTTTGATATACAGGTTCAGTTAAGATTCCAAGAAGAAATGAGTTATAAAGGTTTAGGTATTAAATTTTTACGAGGGTTCAAGTATAAAAGCCTTCAGTTAACACCAAGGTATTAGATTCTGAAAATTCTCATTCGATTTAAAATATATTCTGCTAATCGCCCTCGTTATATATTAAGTGCCCTATTTTAAATTTTTAATATTTTCTTTGTGATATAGTTTAAAATTCGTCAAGAAAATAATTAATTATCTCAAATTACGCGCCAAGTTTAATAGAAGATAATTTTTAGCCCTGTTTCTTGATCCGATATTAAAAGCAGCCCTTTAAAATAGTTTTTAATATCATAGGTCCTACGATTGAAACATAATTTAGAGGTTGGCCGCTTTTGCCCAAATGGACCGACTTTGCACTAATCCCTAGCATATACTTGAGTATATAAGACAAATTAAAATTGTGTGGTTTGACTAAAAATTATCAAAATTAGGTGAATAATTTTAAAAACAATTTTACTTTTCTTTTATTAACTGAGATTAATGGTCTTTGGAAAATTAAAGAAGTGAAAAATGAAAGTGATATATCATTCTATGTATGATACGGTGTTTAAATATATTACATTTAAAATATTCGGCCTGTTTAACAAAATATTTACACGTTAGGGGGGCTAGGCTTTGGTCCTTCAGGTTTGTTTATAAAAACTAAAACTTTGTAAAACCTTTAAAAACATCTAAAAACCTGTTATAGTGGTTTATAAAGGTACGGATGACACTTAAATTTAATAAAAAATAGTGTCTAGGTTCATAAAAAAGAGAATTAAAATTTTATAGATCTGGGGTTAGTTTTGACACTTTTTTTAAAAATTATATTATTGTCATAGGGAATAATTTTGATATTTAGTACGAAGATGTAAAGAAAAATATAAATTTTGATCGTAAAATTGGTTATTTATTAATATCAAACTGCATATCCAATGTAGAGTAGCTAAACTTGAACCACGCGTACAGTGCGAATTTGCCGGCAATGATTTCCCTGCTATTATAACCAATTTCAAATTCTTTGGATACAGGGTTATGTTTCAAGAGCCAATCATTGTTTAGTGTAATTTTCGGGGAGGTAAGCGTGAAAACAGAGTTGCCCTTATAAAAACTTTCATAATCATTTTTTTTTAAAAAATATAAACATTTCGTAAATAAATGAAATATTTTACTATATTTATATTATTATTCCTAAACAGAGTTTTACAAAAATTTTTTGAAGATTTTCTTTGCCCAAGAAGATCATAAGATCATAAGATTGAAGATTTTTTTTTAACAATAGATTTGATCTAGTGTTGTTAGAAAAATCTTTAGGCTTGCATAATATTTTTTTTCTGGATAAAATATTGAATGAGTCATTTTTAAAAATCGGGTCGAAATGAACCGTTTTAAAAACATTATAATTTGATCAAATAATTTGTTTGAGCATTCCCCAAAAAAATTTATTTTTTTTTAAAAAAAAAACACTAAAAGAAATCTTCAAAGATGATACAAATTCTTTGAGGATTTTTTTAAAAATAATTTGATGGGCATTTCAAACTTTGATACAAGACTATGTGCTCACAACTATATACTCAATTTTTGTCTCTTTAAAAAATATATATTTATTTGAAATTATTTAACGCTACATATTAGAGACAAGAAGCCTTCCAAACCAGCTGTTTGATTTATAATGAGGGTGTCTTGTTTAAATAAAATATCATTAAGGGGTTTAGATAGTAGTAAAACTCTTTCGCCTTGTCTCATTTTTATTTCGTAAATTTTTTTTTTCTCCAGAAAATTTACCAAATATGCCTTAAAAATTGTGAATAAAATTAAATGATTGATTTATACAACTCTAGCTCTACACATTTGATCTTTAGGCAAAACGACTCATTTTGGGCAGATTTTTTAAAACGGCTAACTTTATTTTAGCCAGAAAGATATTGCCTAAGCCTCAAGATTTCGATAATATATGTCTGGACCTTTGTTCCTTCTATGAGGAAAATCTTCAGGTCTGCTCAATATTTTCCTGGATGAAATATTGAGTTAGCCGTTTTTAAAAATCGACTAAAAACGAGCCGTTTAACAACACTAGGCGCATCAATAGACTTTATGTTTAAAAAGAACAATTTTCAAAAACACGTTATTAATCTTATTCAATTTATAATGATAATATTTAGTATTTTTTTCTTTTCTTTTAATATTTTATATGAAAATAATTTGGTTCAAAAATAATATATATATATATACATACCTTAGCGAACTGACATTTTTATCCATGCTCATTTTGTAAGAAGCACTGAAAGGTGAAGATTCTTGAACATTGGAATAATTTTTGGGGTTACTATCTAAATAGAAATTGAGTTTCAAATTATTTCCACCTTTTGTCAAATTCGTTGCGACGAGATAACGAACCCCTGGCAGCGAAATGCGTATCAGATGTCTTTCGTTCAATTCAAGCGCAGTGTAATTATATCTACCATCTATGCTGACAACTTTATTAGATGTCCGAGGTTCAAGAAACCAGGAATAATTCACCGTAAGTGGGTACTGAAAGTTAAAAGCACAAAAATCGTATAATTTTAATTTTTTTAAAAAAAAATCAAGATTACGTTAACCTTTTTATCCTTGATGCTAGCGAGTGCTTCCAAATCTATCGTCAAAGTGTTAGGTAGATAAATCAAGCCCGTTACGATTAAGCTAAAATTCCAATTTTTAGGAATAATTGAACCTAAAAACAGTCTTAGGTACACGATGTCCGACATTCCTTCTGTCCAGCGTTTTTCTGAAAGTAAATTAGCTTCTAGGGCGAATCGATACCTCGATACATTGCGAGTATAGGAATCGGAAAATACATTTAGGCAATCCAAGCTTTAAATTTTATCGTACATGTGGTAAGTGTTTAGTTTTAAAAACAAAATAAAAAACTTCATCAGCTGAGTATCATAATGTTCTATATTCACTTCTCTTTTTCTTAATAAATGATTTATTCCCTACCATATTCTTATATCCACGAAAAAAAATTCTATATTTGCATCATTGCATTATGAGCACTCCTGATTTACAATGCTAGAAATATATATATTTTTCTTTAAAAGTTCTCAATGCAAAATTTAAAAAAAAAATGGATACAGAACATTATAATATTCAGCCGATATGATTATAGGCTTAGGAGAGAAACAGAGCATTATAACTAGAAAGCCACTGATACGATTTTTTTTCTTCAAGATATCAATTTATTTAAACGCGTCTAATTTTATACCAATTCAAGTCGCTTTCCAGATTAAAGAAGAGGGGACTGTAGGCGGCTGTACCGTTATATATCCAATTTTGTAAATCTTTGTCGAAGGAAAGTTTCCACGCAAGTGTTCGCCGTCTATAAAAGGATTCATTTGTCGACGGCTTTTTTTCGTCAATCGCACCTTTCTTTACCATTTCAAATAAAATTAAATTGCGAATATTTGTTATATTATAACTTATTTTTTGTAATTTTATAATCATTTTTGACTTTAATTCTAAGTCTTTTTCTATTAATTGAATTGAATTAAATATTTAAATAATGTTGTGTTTCTTTCTTTCTTTCTTTCTTTCTTTCTTTCTTTCTTTCTTTCTTTCTTTCTTTCTTTCTTTCTTTCTTTCTTTCTTTCTTTCTTTCTTTCTTTCTTTCTTTCTTTCTTTCTTTCTTTCTTTCTTTCTTTCTTTCTTTCTTTCTTTCTCTTCTTTCTTTCTTTCTTTCTTTCTTTCTTTCTTTCTTTCTTTCTTTCTTTCTTTCTTTCTTTCTTTCTTTCTTTCTTTCTTTCTTTCTCTTTTGTAACCAATACATTATGAAATATAAAAGGATCTGCATTAAACTCATTTGTTCCCTTAAACTATTTAAATTCAAAAGATTATTTTTAAAAGAGATATCAAGTAAAAATTCTGAAAATTTAACCCCCCATTTACTTATAAATATAAGTAAGGGAGACCGGGGATAGTTTAGAAGGATTTAATTATACCATTTTTTTTAAAAATTCTTGTAATCTTTATAAATATAAATCAATAAAAATTTTCTTATAATTTTAATTTATTATTTAGATCCTCTAAGGTCATGGAGGAGGTGGGGGGGGGGTTGTGCTAATAACTTTTCCTAATAGTATCTTGACGAGGGTATCAAATGAAGGATAATAAAAAAAAATTAAGTGCAATTAAAATGAATCATCACTGACCTTGGATCTAGAACTTGGGAAAGAGGAGGGGGGGGGGTGTATTAAATTGATTAAAAAGATATTCTGAATTCATCTTTATCATCATTCCCCGTTTTAAGAGTGAGATAAGGTGGGGGGAGGGGGAAGAAATATTTCTCACATAATATTGCGACATGTGTATCAGAAATCTAATAAAAAGATATGTTTACATAGTTACTCATCTCAATGTTATTAGATTAAGTATGGAGAATGGGAATAAAAATATTTTAACATAATATATGTATATGTTAGCGTCAATATGTACAGTGACTGTTTTTTCGGCAATGTGTTATAGTGGTAGGCAGGGTGAATTGGTTATTTCGTCAATGTACACATTGCCTGGTTAAATCAAGCAATGTATTCATAAATTTATTATTTATTTGAGAGGAATTTATTATTTATAAATTTATTTTTAAAATTTTTAGATATATTGTCATATATTTTTAAAAATATTTTTTGAGATGTTATATTTTTTAAAAAATATATTTTATTGAATTAATTTGTTTTAATGGTTATATTATTATTTAATATAGTATTTTAGATAATTTATTTTAATGTCTTATATTATTTTTTCAATATATTTTTTTTAAAGATGGTTTTATTATTTACTTATATTTTCTATGACATCATAAAACATTTTAAGTTTATTGATAGCAGAGACCCTAACCGTTATTTATAACTGTTCAGTTTGGTTACAGTTCAGTATGTAAAATATTATAATGGTTACGGTTCTTAAGAAAAAATTTACAAAGGTTCGGTTCGGTTCAGTTAATTATAATGGTTCATAATGATTCATTACGGTTAGGAAATTTTTTTTTTTGAAGCAACACCATCGTCTAATTTATTTTATTACAAGATCTATGAATTATATATAAAAAAAATATATAAGATTCAAAATAACTCATTTTTAAATATATTATAAGTAATATATTTTCTAATATAAATGGATTCATATTTGTTTGTTGTGTCGATAACACAAATTTTAGCCCCGAAAAGGCCCTTTCTACAGAAACTTGTGTTGCGGGAACCGCCAGTACTATAAGAGTAAGTTTATATAATTCTGGATATTCAAATTTTTTTTGATTCCTAAAATATAAAAACCGAACCGGTTTAACCTTTTTTATAAAGGTTCTTTTTACTCCTTCAAAAAATAATTATATCGGTTCGATTACGGTTACGGTTCTGATTATAACGGTTTATAATGGTTTAACGGTTCTTTAGGGTTCACTCCGGGTCCCCGATTGATAGGGGTTAAATTCTTTATTATTTCGAAATAATATTTACTAGACCATGCAAATTTGTTAAAAGGGGTGGTATTACCCTCCCCCCCCTTTTATATGGTAGAAGTTAAATTACTCACCTAACGGCCAAATTTTATGTTAAAAAAATATTAAGCCATACTATTAACAGAAAGTCTGGGAGCAAGCTTTCCCTTAAGATCTTGCAAAAATTTATCTCTCGATAATAGAAAAAAACTTATAACAAAAAAGAAATAAAGACACTAGAATTAATTTACAATCAATTTTTTATTTTCAATATAAAATCAATCTAAATGTAAAAGAATCATTTACTTTGACACTTATTATACAGTATGGCAATGAGAATTGTACAATATATTAGATGCCTTGCATTTGCCTTTATTCGTGGTACAATTTTGTCTGCAATGACAACGTTTAAATCCTTGCCGAGATCCTATTGAAGACATGCCAACCATTGTTCTAAAGGTATAATGATGACTTCATGGCACGTCTTCCAACGTTAATAAAATTATATTTTTATAGTTCAAACTGCGACCTAGCATAATGACCACAAAAATAACAGCGACTAGTTCTCAATTTATATAATACTTCTGTGGATTTAGCCAAGCTCAAGACATTGACGATTAGCATGAAAATAATTCATCATTAATTTTGAATAGATAATTAAAAGCGAATTTAGGAATTTTGTTGATAATAGTACTTTATGAGAAGATCAAAAAGATTAGAAAAGTAGTAAAGAATTAATATATTAAAACCATATTAAAAAAAATATAATGAAAAAATCATGTAAGATCAATATATATTCGGAAAGTATGCAAAAAGGCCTGAGTACATAATTGGGTCGTAAATTTTACGAATAAGCAAATTAACAACACGAACTATAACACATTGCCTAGAAAAATCAGGCAATGTACACATTGCCGAATGTAACACATTGATGCTAACATATACAAATGGTTCCCAAAATAAAAAGATCGTTTAATTATTTTCTAACCATCCGCAATTACTATAAATCATGAGGGGAATGGGTTAGATTTAAAAAAAATTAAACAAAACTTGGTCGACTTGTTACTAAATAGTTATAGGAAAAAGTAAATTTTTTTTTAAAAAAAAAGCGGAAAAAAGAGAAATATAAAAAATAACAATGCCACCAAATATACTTAAAACAAACCTAGATAGGGACTCCTAGATAAAAAACTTTTTAGCTTATATTAAAAGCAATAAAAATCCAAATTAAGTCGAACCACGACACAGCCTATGTATATATTTAGAGAGTTTGAGAGTAATTATTTTTAGAGAATTTCAGTTTTGACTCTTAGCGACTAAATATGAGTCTTAGGTTACATGGCAAAGAGACATAAATCGCTTAAACTTAAATACAACAAAAAAATTTAAATATTATTCTATTATTTTTATTTTTTTGGGGTCCAATTTTTTCCTTTAGATTGATCCGATTAATTGGTTTATTTATACCTCAAATTAGTAATGAATGAAATTATATTAATATATTTTAAAGTAAGATTTACATAGGGGAAACCGGGGGTTATGTTGTCCATAAAAAATTGAAATACTACAAAAAAAAGAAGAAGCAAATTTTCCTAAATGGGGTACCTATTTACCCTTTCGCGTTGCATAGCGCCTCTTTAAAAATGTCAATCGAAAATAAAATGCTAAATGTATTAAATTTACCAGATTCAATCATCCGGAAGAACTTGTTTCTTAAAACTGTCATATAATTTACAAAAAAATAAGTCATTCATCTTTCATATTGTCATTTAGTGACCCTAGATCTCGTGATTTCTTAAGTTTTTTATCAATATAGTTGAATCAATTTTATTCATAATAATCCCCGCTTAAAAGCCCCAGATCTTCACATCTAATTCAAATTTAAGTCAATATTATTTTTTTTACATGTTGAAATTGAGATTGATATATAGTTTAGAATTAATATTTGGTTTGAGTAACTTTTATAAAAAAAATTTATTTGTAAAAAAATGATAAAAAAAAAATCAAAAAGCTTCTTTTGACGTGGTTAAAATTTAAATTTGCACATTAAAAACTTTTCAAGAGCTTATTTCAACATTTTTAAAAAAACAATTGAAGCAAGCTTATTAAAATACATTTATGGTTTAAATTTCTAATATCAAAGTTTATTAATTTCAAAATTATTTTGAGAAGAAAATAACTGCCCCGAGATAACATTATCCCCGGTCTCCCCTACCATATTATGTAATAACAAGATGTAATGATTATCCCTTACGTTTTCATAGAATATATCCAACTTTTGTTTTTTCTTGCCATCCGGTGCAGATACTTTGGCCTTGAATAGTGTCTCGAATTCTGAGCCTACTTTTGGCTTAGCTCTAGACCAATCTACTTCCAAATTAAACTCATTGCCGCTATCTTTGACTTCCAAATAAACTCTTTTATAAGCATCATCGCAACTGTCATCATTCGCTGGATACAACTGCCTGCTAAACGTGATTCTGGATTTAACTATGATTTTTAGTTAAAAATATAAAAATTAAATGCCTATTCAAAAAATAATAATAATTCCTCATTCGATTCATATTCTTTAGGCCTAAATGAATTAACTTATCATCAGGAAAAACGAAACGAATAAAGTACAGGTTCGGTTCGTAAAAAAATATCAGTTACCACTAAAAATTGGTTTGAACACTTTTTTTTATACAAATTACATTTGAAATTATATATTTTGATAATTTTATTGAGTTCTAGAGGTAGGTTTCTTCTTCAAGATTTGCTTCGTGATGCCACTTCATAGTTGTGGTCATAAGCAGTAATATATTTTGATGTGTCATTATTTATGGTACTATATGTAAATAATTTATATATTGGTGGTAGGCATTATAACCTTAAAAATATTTTAAAATGTTGTAAAATGGTTTATAAAAATTATGACTGACAGAGAGAAAGAAAGAAAGAAAGAAAGAAAGAAAGAAAGAAAGAAAGAAAGAAAGAAAGAAAGAAAAGGAACGAAAGGAAGAAAGCAGAACTCTTTCTTTGTCTTCATGATACTCTTTCCTCTTACCAATCAATAAACTAATCTTTAAAGCAATTTAGATATAAATTATAATTTTAGCAATATACTAGTAATTATACATAATTTTTATAAGTACAAAATCACGAGGTTCGAACCGTTTCACTGGCATTTTAACGGAACGGTTCAGATTCAGACAAAAAATTATTTAAGGGTTCATGTTCGGTTCAGGTTCGATAAAAAATACCGGTTAATACCGGTTTAACGGTTCGGGTTAGATTCTTATTTATTATGCAGTTTATTTAAAATATATTTGTAAATATATTAAAAAGTTATAAAAAATGTTATATATTGATATTTTTTTTTGATATAGAAAATTGAGAAAAAAAAATAAAATAAGAAAATATTTTAAAACCATCTGTTTCGTATCGAACGTCAAATTCTCTCGATGTTAAAGTATGTGAGTATTTGTCATTGTCACATGTTGCTTCAACTCTAGAACTTTGGGTGATGGTTAATTTGCTGTATTTACTTTATAGTCAGATATATAAAAAATACTGCAATTTATGTATTTTAAAGGTGTCCGTAATATAATCAATCACAATAAAAATGTCAATAAATTTTGTAATTGGCAAATACACTAATTTAAATTTATTTAATGCTAGATTATAAATATTTTTTAATAATAAATAAATAAAACAGCTTACACTCCGATAGGTTCAGCATAAATTTCGTAAGAATACGGGTTACCCAAGGCTGTCCATCTAAAAAATGGATGAAAAGACCCGAAATTATATAGTTTGACAGTTTGGCACAATTTAAAGCCTAATAGGTTGTCCACAAATTTGGGGAAAAAGCAGGAGCTGTTAGAACTAAAAGCATTAGCGGTATAAAAGTTTGGTACGTTGACGAGTGTAGAATCATTTTCGGGCATGTTCATCTCCTCGCCGTCAATCATTAAAAGTTGTCTTTTACTAGTAAAGGACATAGTTTTAAAAAGATATAATTACATTCACACGTTACTTGAAAATCAATTAGTTTACTTAAAGCTCAATAAAACAATATGTACTACACTTGTCACAATTCTTTAAAAAATTATATTTTTTTTATCATATAAAATATTTTTCAGATTTTGCATTTACCTGTATCTTAGAATGGAAAATTTTTTGGTTGGTCTATCCAGGGTAAAGGTTAAGTTGTTCCCAACCTTTGTGGCGTTTAAAGTGAATCTCTTATCGGAATGGAGCATTAGATCCCGGTGAAAATTTGGTAGTTTATATTCCTGGGATCCGATAGATGTGACGCCGGTAAAGTTTACCATTAATCTGTGGTAATGATTTCAAAGATTTTTTTTTTCTTTACAAATGAAAATCATAAAAACATTTAAACTCGAAGAAGAATTATTATATACTAACTAATATAACCAACAATTAAGTAAGCTTATAATCAGGTTCTGCATATTTTAAAAAATTTATAACTCTGATATCGCAAAATGAAAAATATATGTATGGACTCTATGAATTTTGTAACTCTGTCACTTTCAAAAAAAATAAGGGTAGGCATAAATTTAAATAATATAATATGTCGATAAAAAAAATAAATCTATGGTCTAACTTTCTATCGATGTCCCATTTAAAATTTAGACCAGGTTGCAACAGGGATTTAATATTCATCAGAATATCGCCTTTAACAAAAACACTGACGGGGATACCGGTCGCTGTGGGGAAAGTCAACCTTTTCTCTACAAACCTAAAAATTCTAAATAATAATTATATAAATAAAATTATGTTGCGAAAATGGTGCTTGGAGAGACAGTTGAAAAATCCTTTATTGAAGGTTTTAAGTTAAATATTACCTAATTTTATTTACAAGAAATGGATTCCCAGCATTTGATTTTACCGTGAACCTTTTAATCATTCTCAATTTATAATGATTTATATATAAATGTAAGGATTTAATTAGAGTTTTTAAATAATTACAAATAGCCGTGATTTTCGTTACTTTAAAAAAAATATATAGTTTTTAAGCGCTACTATTTTTTTAATTGCGTTTTCGTATAAATTCCCTTATATTAAAAACTTGTAAATCGCAAAATTATTCTGATATTAAAAATGATGAATTTATATATTTTAATTCATAAAAGTAATGCGATATTATAATTCTAACTAAATCCTCTTTTTTTTAAAAAAAAAAGTGAACTAATAACTATAACCTACCTTTTCACAAATGAAATTAATGGTAATTACTTGTTTTTTTTTAAAAAGAACACTAGATTTTTCATAAATTTTTACAAAAATATAGCGAGATTATCTAAAATTTACAAGGTTACAATACAACAATGCTGGATATCCATTCCTATAAAATGAGATTTTATCTTCCAACATTAAAAAAGATAATAAAAACAAAGAATAAAAAAACGAAAAAAAAAACGAGAATAAAATGTTAAAAATAACAATGCCACCAAATACTTAAAACAAATCAAAATAGAGTCTCCTCATTCAAATATTTTTTAACCTATAATAAAAATGCAATTAAGTATCCAAATTAAGCCGACCTATAGGGCACAGCCTAAAAACTTATTTTGCTAAACTCTTTAATCCCTTCTTATATTATATTGGGATATTTAGTCCAGGGTGATTTAGAATATCTAAACTTGATATCCTTTACTGAGGAGGGATTCTCAAAATTTCAAAAAATTTGACTTAATCCAAAATACATTCTAGCCTCTTTTAGTAATACCTGCCCTTATAAATTTCAGGCAATTTTTTGAAATAAACTTTGTGCATTTTTTTAAAAAAATTTATATGAAAAATCTGTAGTTATAATTTATTAGTTAAATTGCTTTTTTTAAAATTTTATTATATTCAAAATATAATACTAATATTGTATTTTGCGGTTGCAATTCATATATAAAAGATCAAATTTTATAATATTCATCAAGGATCCTTGCTGAATCCATTATTATTTATTTTAGTAATGGATGTGGTGGCTAGAGAAATGCGTGAAGAATTTTCCTGGGAGCTATTATATGCAGATGACCTTGTATTAATGTAAAACAGTTAGGAAAAATTGAGGGATAAAATAAAAGAAAAGATGGCTATAGAAGCAAAGGGCCTGAAAATAAATGCAGCAAAGACAAAGGTGATGATTGATGGAGAACATCTAAAGATGGAGGAAGCCGGTAAGTGGCCTTGGGGTTTATGTGGAAAATGAGTTGCTAGAAATTCAATTCAATGCACCAGATGGCAGAAATGGGTATATAATAGATGTAGTGGTAAAAAAGGAAGTTTGATGTTAGCAAGAATGACCTTTATCTGTAGAACATGCATAAAAGGGGTACATAATAATGTTAATGTAGAAAATGGTGGTCTGGATATTGCCAATAGATTAACCCAATAAAAAGTGGATAAATTTTTTATTTGAGTGATATACTAAACGCAGATGATGGTGTAGATTCTGCCGTTGTAAGGGTCAGACAAGCATGGAAGAATATCAGAGAGATGTCGTCTATTCTAACAAATAAAAAAGTCTCTCTGAAGTTAAAGTGAAAATTTAAGTAAGCTTTGTGAGGAGTTGTTTAGTTTATGGCGGCGAAACATGGGCTATGAAAGCGACTCACGGAGCCAAATTAGAAAGAACAGAGGTGAGGATGATTAAAAGGATGTGATCTCTAAGAGAGAGAGAAAAATTAGCAAGGAATTGCTAGCAAAATTGGGTATAGAAATGATTAGAGTAGTAATGCGACGGAATAGACTAAGATGGTTTGGGCATGTGGAACGTATGAAGAAAGGTGACGGGGTAAAGAGATGCATCTTGATGGGAGTAGGAGGATCAAAACCTAGAGGAAGGCCCAAGATGATGTGAACAAATATGATAAGGCGGATATGCGAAGCACGAATCCAAACATTGTTGCTGAGGACGGTCTAAAATGGAAAAGGAAAATCAGAGGGAAAACTGGCCAACCTGGGTAACCTGGAAATCGCCATAAAACGGAGAAGAAGAAGAAGATGAAGTTGAATAAATATAAATTTACCAAAGTCCTCGCCTCTACAGATCTATATTCCCTTCAAAAATCGATAAAAAAAATTGATATAAATGTAAAATGCTTCAAAGGTCCTTCTCTAAATTGTCTGAAATTGATAGTTTGGATGTTTCATACATGTTAAATACATTTTAAGTCAAATCAGATTTATGCAAATTTATCCCAATCACAATGGATCCTATGTCACAATACGGCATATATATAGATACCAGTATAAGAATTTAAAATAAGTAAAATATGAAAAATCACCGAAAATTGTTTGTAATTAATAGTCAGCCTTTTTTTTCTCATTTCCGATTTCCTTTAAACTTTGAAAGATTTTCAAAAATAAAAAAAAAACTTTTATGAATAATACTTGAAGGTATCTGTTCCTTGAAGTTGTTCTATAAGAAAAGTATCTATTTTCTTGGCCAAATATTCGGAGTCAAAATTTTTACTTAGATCCATCAGCGAATAATATAGGATTGGTTTACCTGGAATTTTATATTTTATACATAATATTGGGTCACTTATTAGAGTGTTTATATATTAACAACAAAATAAAGGGAATAAATGATGTCTAAAATATAGTTATTGAATATTTTAAATAAATTTCGGAGATGATCATTTCTCCTTTCTTCTGTTTTCATACAAGCAAAAATCATGTAAAGTCGATTCATGTTATAAATTATTGCTTGAGAATAGAATTTACAAATTGTAAAAAAAATATACATTACAATTCACCTAAATACATAATATTATTCGATAAAATAAATGTTTCGAAATTATGAGAATTGAGCTCAAAGATATATAAGGAAACGAAAAAACCTAAATAAAAGCATCACGATAATCGCACCGTTTAAATATCATTTTTTTTTCTTGCATTCCTCTATTAAATTTGGAATTTAAAGAGATTTAGGCTTCCAAATTTTTCGATATTCCATTAATTGATATATTCTAGAATTCTAGAACCCGGTATCGGGTATTTATTCAGGTTCTGACTTGACCCAAGAAAAAAACATCAAAACATTTTGTCCAACAACCAATAGGATCCGAGAATTTATCTTCTCGGAGATTCGAGTTCTATCGTCCAATTTTTTTTTAAAAATCAAGATTAAAATCCGACCGTATCAGAGTAAATGTTTGACCGAGTCAGCCAATCCGAACCTAAGTTCATTTGAACTCGGATTGGTCCATGTAGGGATTCAGTATATTCCAATCGTGATCTTAAAAGAAAATCTCTGATAAATATAGTTTTAAAAAAAAATTAGAAAGAAAAATAGAGACCTCTGAATTCTATGATTAGCCTTCCCTTGGACAAATCTTCTTTGCTAAATTTGTTCGATCTATTTTTTTTCTTCAAGATTCGCTGGTAGATCTGCAGAAATATTCTTTGCAGTTCCGTGTTGCTCGTAAGCCTTTTCCATGCATCCTTCATGGGCGGCAATTTGTACAGCTTGAATTATTATTTTTTTGGATGATTTAGTATTAAGAAATAATATTTATATCCACAAAGAAAAATGAAAGAAAGAGTTGTAAATACTTATCTTATGAATAGTAGACAATTTTGCTGTTAACCTTTGGATGCATTTATAATTGATAATAAAAAAATATATGGGAAATCGAATATACACTATATTAAATTTAAAAGTTTAATGGAAAAATTGTCTGAAATTAGTAAGGTAGGTATTCCAAATATCATGGAAATACATTTTCGGTAAAATTAAATTTTATAAAAAATTTTTAAACGCACTTCAAAAAATGTTTTAAATTTGAAAAAATAACATAATATTTAGAAAAGAAAAATAAAAATTCAAAAAGTGAAAATTGTCTAATAAGCTAAGTTTTTATATAAAGGCCTAAAAGTGGTGGCGTTTTCAGAAAGAAAATCTTGTTGCGGCTAAACGGATAAAAACTAACTAAAAATAATTTACGATCATGGGCAAGAAAATAAAAGGGAAATTCGAAATCAAAGGTAAAAAATTATTTCTTAATTTTAAAAATCTTTAGATGAAAATAAGATTATTTTGAAATGCTTATAATAGAAAAATAAACACACTGACGCTAACAATATATACTATTATTAAATATCTCTTGGTAGCATTTCTAGGAAATGAAATAGCCTATATATATATATATATATTACATATAAATTTTAAAATAATCTCTAAATTCAATGAATTTTCTTTAAAGCAAGGTTGCCATTTTTGGATCTCGTGTCATCTAGTGTCCGATTTTTAAAAACGGTTTACTCAATCCTGTTTCCAGAAAAGTATCATGCAAGCCTAAAGGTTTTGCTCACAGATAACACTTAGGATTGAACATCTATTAGAAATCTCGACACTTAGGCAATATTTTCCTGGGTATTATGTTGAGTTAGTTGTTTTTAACAAATCGGCTCAAATCGAGCCGTTTAACCACACTAGTGTCATCATTACAAAAAAAGTCTTAAGGCTTACCCTCTAGCTGATTTTAATATTTTTGTATTTTTAATTTTGAAAAAGCAGAAAAGCCGCTAGGATACCCTTCTTTGGAAGTTAATTTTAATAAAATTATATAATGTGAAATAAGGCTTTACTAATTTATATATTTTTTTTTTTAGTTGAAAAATTCTATATTATATAGGATCAAAATAATTATTGGATATAAATATATAGATGCTAGTATATATTATACCGGGTAATTTTCGGCTAAGAATCGAATCAATTTATCGTAATTTGTATCTATCAATTTTAAAATGGCTTCTAGGGGTGGTAGATTTGTATTAGATCCGGGATCCTTAATTTTTGAATGATTCAACAAATCGTATTTCCATAATATTTCTGCCAATGTTTCAAGGAAAGGTCCAGCCCCTATAAGACTTATAGCCAAGACGGGTTCCTTAAAAGCTTGTTTAAAATCCATAAATGAAGCTACCTTGAATAAGGAAGGCATGTAGCTTTCTTCTTCGAAAATTACTGAGGTAGTCACGATTAGATCTATATTATTATTTTTATATATCATATTTGAAGTGTTTACAAATGTTAAATTTTTAATAAAACCTATTTAAATCTTGTATGTTTTTCAAATAACTTGAAAAATACATACCATTGTAAAACAATAAATAAAATTAGTGTTGTTAATTGGTTGGTTGTGTAAAACCAAGACCCGGGGTTTGGGCCTAAAAATCCACTAAACCAGCTCTGAGCATGAACCCCGTGCAGAGACCCAAGGTTCAGACCCGGTATCGTGCGAGCAGGCAGCATAAAATCGGGTCGTAAATTAAGCAAATTAACAACACTATATAAAATAATACAGATACGTGTGAAATGATGCTAATATAATAAAGAGGAAATTATCTAATAATAGTCATTAATTGGAAGTTAAACTTCAGACGCAGTAACTCGAAGATAAAAGATAGTCTTAATTTATATGTCTTGTGGATTGAAAGGTAATTAGTATAAATAAATCATTCATAAATGTGACGAATAAATAGTAAAATACTCTTTAAGTTTAAAATAAAACTTTACGCTGTAAAATGTTAAAATAATTATAATATTAATTATATATTTTTTTTTCTCTTTAGAGAGAACTGGAACTAAAATTCAACAATTTGTGAGCAATTTAAACAAAATAAATACAAGAATATATTAACTGTATGTGTTCAAAAAGGGAACGGTAACAGGAAACTCTTGAGCATATATTTGGGAGTGAGTAAGAGGAGGCATGAAAGATAAATCGGGGATATATTCTTTTGAAAATATCAAGTATTTCAGCACGGTGTTAAAACTGAATCTTTATATGTTGGCAAAAAAATATATATTTAATTAAGAATATTCGATTTCCTTTAAAGTTAGTTATATTTTCCAATTTACTTGAAAATTTTAGTATAAAAATTGAAAAAGAATGGCTTGATATTTTAAAACGATCCTCACAATAAATGTTTTTAAAAAGTTATCGTAAATATACATAATATTAATAACTCGTGATCGAAATAACTCCTAGATTCGTGCGCTCTCAGATTAGATAGCAAAAATGTTTTAATTTGACTATGTTCCGGCAGGCTGACAAAGTAATCCAGGGCCTTCTCGGTTATGTTGAAGTCGATAAGAGTCTCTTTGCTTATTCCTTGCTCTAATTCAAATTCAGAATTTTCATGGACTATGTAAACGAAAGCCAATATTTTTATCAAATTTGTCTCCTTAGGATTTAACAACAATTTCAAGGCTAAATTGTCGACTAATGAGCTCATATTACGAGATATATCTAGATTCTTCACGTTATCCAATGCCTGTTTTTTTTTATTTTTGATGGATATATTATTTTTTTTAAAAAATATTCAAAATTCTATGATAGATTAAACCAAAAATGTCATATAAACATCACCTCTTTAAAAAAAGAGGAAATCTTACTCTAAATGCATTCATGGCAATGAAAGGAGAAGTCGATTTATATCTTGTAACGCACGCCACTAGATATTGAACCAACTGATCCGTTTGATTGTACATTTTGATTGACCATTTAGAATTCGCGATGGCCACCAAGGCTGCTTCCCCCAATTCCGCTTGGAGCTCTTTACTTAATTTTCTTAGAAGTTTTGTAAAAAACAAGAACGTACTGCTAACTTATATAGAATATTAAAACTAATATTATTAGGAAAAAAAAATAAATAAAAAAAACAAAATTTGTGTTTTTAATGTTTTTAAAAAAATTTAATAACTACAAATATCCTTATTAAAAATATAATCTACAAAATTGTTTAAAAATTTCATTAAAATGATAATTAAGCATTTCTATACGTTTTTTTTTTAATACCGTTTTTATGTTTAAAAAACATAAATATTTTCTTGTTTTTGTTCTTTATTAATGTTTTAGTTTTTTTTTATATTCCTAAATATTGTGTAAATCAGAATAAATTTCATTCATTATTAAACTATCTATTCTTACTTGACATCGTCGTAAAATATAAAATTATTCAGGTATTCCACTTTTGAGTAAGTCTTTTTGACAGTAACAGGACACAGCGGTGTCAGATACGCGTTTAGCATTCTGTAAACCTTGTATATTATAATTCTGCCTTGGCGGTTTCTGGCTCCATTAAAAAGTCGATAATTTTTTACGACTTCTCCTAATGTCACGAAGCATTTAGCCGATGGACGTTGGTAACACATATACTAAAATAAAGAGGAAAATCAATTTCAATATTTTTTTAGAGTTGTTTAGTAGTAAAAAATAAATAATTATATTTTTTCGTTAGCTGTATTGTATGATGCTGATGCAACCGTTATAAATTAGTTCTTCCTTCCTTCCTTCCTTCCTCCCTTCCTTCCTCCCTTCTTTCTTTTAAGAATTAATCTAAACAATGTTTTTTTTGCTTTATTGAAATTTGATATTACATAGGTCATCTTTAAAAAATCCGTGTTGGGGTTCTCCACGGCCATGAATGTATTAAGCAATCTTTCCTGAAATCTTGGGAAGTTTTTACGACA